TATACCATAAATAATGCTGTTTTTACCATTCAGGTCTTACCCAGATAGGAGTTGCGGGCTTTCCCAATTCTTTCATCATTGCAGACTCTGCAGCGCTCGCAAGCCCTAATTGGTAATACCAGCAATAAAAAGTAAACACAAGATTGGTCGCCCGAGTTGAAAACGAAGCTGAGTCATCGGTAACTCCTTGTGTGGCTGAAATCGTCACCGCATCAAATTGAATGACTTTCACTATATGTTTGAAAACCTGGTATATAACTGGGAATAACCGGCACACCAACAGCGTACGCTGTACCCTCCACCAAAGAAGCATACGAATGTGTACCAATGATGTTTTTGACGTTTATAGCCTCGAACACAGCTGAATAGAAGCGTTGAAGGGTTTAACTATAATACTTCTTACGAAAGTTACCTAATCCAATAAAGTCAAATAGTTCTGCTATGCCCACATCAAAATTCTCAGCTTCGAGGCTTTCCATCAACTCCTTGTCCCTCAGAAGTGCTACAAACATTGTCAAATGTAAAGTCACGCTGATGATCACTCACTTGTCACTGATGCATTTATCCATCGTGCCCATGGTGGAAGCATCTATGTAGCATAGTTTTGCCAAGTGTTAGAACCAAGGTTTCTATGCAAAAAAACTTACTTTGATCACATCGCTGGCGCGGATGCTACCAGCCCATACACCATCCTGAACTCCTCGATTTCCTTTCAGATCTGAAAGTTCTGCTCTTATACGATCGTCGACATTCCTTTGAATCAGAAATGATTTCGTCGTTCCATTGTCTACATCCGCTGAGATTACCGGCTGTAGTGTTACCTGTGTATCACTTGAAAGCTCCATTGATAACTGTTTGATAATAAATTACAATTTGGAGAAAAATAATATCTCCAATCAGTAACTAATTATGTATGTTTTCTCTTGTTTACTAAAGCGCACTGTATTTTGATTGAATTATTGTGGAATAAGAAGCACATTGATGAAGTTTTTGCGCAAAAGAAATAACAATTAGAAAAGATATCTATAACTCTAATTTGGCTTTTTTGCCTTAAAATTATGCTAGTTCTTTTTAAGTAGTAGGTGGCAAAGATCACTTTCACTCGAATCAATGCTAAGCTTTCAGGGGCAGTGAAAATATAATAGAATTTGGACGTATAGCTTAATAAACGAACCTATTCTCTGTATTGGAAAACATTCTTAACTATCTTTTAAATCGCGTCTATACGAATATTGGTCTTATATTCTGTTGTTAGTGCACAAGTCAAGACGCATTCTAGATTTTCTTCTAGGAAACGGAAATCTTAAGGGGCAAGTCCGATTGTTTGAAACTCACCACTTCATGGCCCGCTTCCACAAGAATGTCAGCTATTCTGCCCATGAAATTCATGTGACTATATGCGATTTTGGGATTGACAACAAGGATTTTGTATGAGTGACTGCCCCAGCTGAGTAGAAGTAGAAGAAAAGGCACTAACATAACTGAAAATTATGTACTGCTTCCCTAGAAAAAAATAGTGCTTTGACACGGTTAGAAATTATCGCAGTAAGCCCGCTATAAAATATGTTGCCTTACTGTAATCGTAAAATTACCTCTGAATAAGTCACAAATTGGAGTTTTTATGCACGGGAATTGTGGAAAAGTGAATTAAATCAAAGTTAGATACATTGCGTCTAACAGTTTGCCCCAGCCATTTGCATTACATTATATAGCCAAGCAAGAAGTAAGATTTAAAGCAGCCGTCTTACATCGCTAGGTTACGAAACAAGTTTTTATGTCCTGCATCTGTATTTGCTGATAGTATGTCATCAGCGCTTTCGCCCATACAAAATAAACAGGTTCACGCACATAAGCGCACCTGTGGTGGATCTCTCGCTACTTCTAGCGAAAAGCTTATTGCCTTTTTATTGTCTTAATTTTGTTTCGTTGACGATGTTTACAATACTCTATTGAACGCTTTGGATCTTTCTTGAACTTCTTCATCTGCACGTCAAATAGTAATAAATTATTTATGTGCTTTACCACAAACTGACATAAACCTAAGTAACAATCACCATTTGCAAACATTCTCAATCCCAAGCACATCACGTTTACATAAGTAAAACTTCTTCATTTATTAGAATTTCAGATTGTTCAAAAGATTAAGAAAAGCATAAATACGAAGTAGCTAGAATTTGGTCTTTCCTTGACCTTCATTCATGTTCCTCCATAATGTTATGGAATTCCCA